TCGAAAACTAAACCAGATTATGCCACTGGACTTACTTCAATTCAGAAATAAAACCCAAACCAGGTATGGTGGTTCATATCTGTAATCCCAGCACTAGGGAGGCTGAGGCAGGAGGATTGCTGTAAGGTTGAGTCCAGCCTGGGCTACATGGTGAATTCAAGGCCAACCTGAACTGCATGGCAAGCCCATCTCAAAAAGACAAAACAAAACAATCCAGAGATAAAACCCAAATTGGTCACTTTGGCCCTTGGGGCTTTCTGTGATTTGGTTTGGCATTTTACTCTGACATCACTTCCTACCACGGTCCTCCATAGCCACAGTTGGCCACATCAACACTCTCTATCCCTCTATCAGACACAGGCCTACTAAGTCTTGAGGTGGGCCTGGAATGTCTATCAGTGTCATGTGGCTTGCTGTTCCCTGTCATTAGGGTCTCGGCTTCACTGTCACCTCAGCAGAGTCTTCTCTGAGCCTTCCCTCTAGTGGAACCCCATCTTCCTCAACCCTACCCCCCATCATTTCATGTGGTTTCATTTCCTACTTAATTTACAGTTCTTATTACCTGAAATTATTTGGATCATTTACTCGTGTCAGGTTTACTGTCATCCTCCTCATAAAAAGAAGAACCTTGTAAATCTGTTCATGACTGTAAACTAGCACCTAAAACCATGCCTGATCAACAAACACTCTCCATATTTGTTGAATGAATGGATGACAGGAAGTATGCTAGGTACACTAAAGGAAATGCCCAGCCCAATAGGAAATACACAGGTCTATCTTCAGAGACCTGGAGGCCTACTACCTACATAGGGACAACATGCTACTGGTCCTGAAGACGAAGCAATGCACAATCAACCTATAGGAAATAAAGGCCAGCCTTGGGGAGGAGTGGCAGCTAGGTCGAAAGATGAAAGATGTGCTAGATGGGTCATTTGGGATTTCTTCTTCCATTCAACGCTCTCTTTGTTCTTGTGAGACAAATTTGATATCTGACTGTTAAGCAGGTTCTCTTTTCAAAGCATGTTGGCATTGCAGTTGATTTTTAACATTCCTGTTGGTCTAAATTGGAGCTAGATTCATTTGGTCATTTTCAGATAAATACACCTATTGGCAAAAAAATTGCATGTTTATGTATAAAACATAGTCATACTGATTTTAGATAATGTATTATTTTATTTAACTGATATTCAATTTTCCATGTTACTACTTTGTCACTGAACATATTTTTAGCATTGTAACATAAATTCACCCATAGGTCTGGGCAAATAAAAATGCTATAAAAATATAAAGATGTAACAGGATGCTAATACTAATTTTGATCAGGCTAGTAATGTTGGAGTATATTTCATGTATCACTTCCACATGTATATAAATCTGAACACCCACTGTAAAGATTATGTGGATCAGAATTTTAACAACTCAAGATGATTTCATTACAGCAATCTGTGAAGAAAACAAGTTTTCCTGTATTCTCTGAAGAAGGCAAATATTTCTACTACCTATCTGCTCTACCTTGCCCCTACTTCAGTATTCAAAGATGACTTCATCAATGCTTTGGTTGACTGGTACGAAAGATTCAGGTTTCCATGAAAGAAACTAATGGAACTTATAAACGTAAGTGAAACCTAACATTTGTCCTCATCTCTTGGCTTTGGAATTTCTCAGGAGTACAACTCACAAACTCCAAAGTGAACTACTATGTAACAGTAACTTTGAAAGAGCAACTAACCACTTTTCCAGAAAAAGTAGAAATTTATGCTCTCATTTTGAAGTTTTATCCACTTAGCTGTCATTAGGAACACTTAACACATCATCACAAAAAGTTCAAACTTTCTACGTTGTTAAAAAAGCAAAAAATTAGAATCAAATTAAAGCAGTATAGTCGTGGCAGACACTGAATTTTTTACTCAAATGCCAATCTTTGCACCTCATGTACACTAAGAGATACTCTTGGTTTTGTTTAACAATTGTGTAGTTGTGGTTCATGAGAGAATGAACCACATCTTTTGAACATCAGAGGTGAAGCTAGATAGTAATTATGGTATTTCATGACCTGTGGGAAAGACTGGTTTAGTAAAGGCATTTGGATAATTGTGGCCAATGACCTAGAGGGGAAGGTGTGTGTGTGTGTGTGTGTGTGGAGAAGAGGAAATGAAACATCTTCCCTCCTTGCAGTCTTTGGACATTATTGTGTGATGAAGTGATATTTGGAGTAGCCATCTTTGGACTTAACATATGATTTTCATGTTAAAGCCTATCTCTATCTCTAAAATTAAATAGAACCCAAATAAACGTTGAAAGTCACCAAATCAAAAGTGTCTCAGTTATTTTTGTTAAATGAGGTTCCATATTTTGGCTTATTGATAGCTCCTAATGGAAATTGCAACTCTTAAGCATGAGTTTTGGGAAGCACTGATAAGCATGGATACAGTCTGATTCGTTGTCATTTTAAAAGGCAAAGTGTATAATGTGACCTCTTTAATTGTGTAGTAATTTCCAGAACACTAGAAACAATTCATTTGGGTTGGCAGATTATATCTAGAATTCACAGGTGTTGGTGAATTATTTCTAATTTAGTTTTTAATTTAAAAACTAAACCTCAGCATACTAAAATGGTTAAATTTAATATTTATTATTGCAAAAATGATTAGCAATGTGCTTAGCTTTGTCACAAATTTTACAATTCTGCACAAACTAAAATAACTTGTTAAATGTTTGCTATATGCTACACTTGACTGAAATAGCTTCATATAGTTTTGATAATAACTCAGTTAAGCACTGTTATAATATCCATTTTGTGGGTGAGGGACTAGGTTAGGTGAGATTCAATAGCTACCAGAGGTAGCGAATAGGAAAACCAGGGTGTGTAGCCTGACACTAAAGCTCAAGTTCATAATCACAGCAGTTTTATGTCCAAGAGTCAACTTTTTGAGGCATGTGGCAGACACTGTTGGATATCTACTTAATAACTATTCTTCCTTTCTTCTCCCAAACCGAACTCTTGCTTTGTTTGAGTGACCCATGATCAAGCTAAACAAACTGTGGAATCTCATTTCCTTCTGCCAGTGACTAGTTTGAAGTAGGCATGTGATTTTTTTTTTTAAAGCAAACAAGGGTAATTCTGCAGGGGGAAAAGGAAAGATTTATCTCTTTTATAAAAATGGGAGGAGTATTTGCTTAACCTGCCTTCCTGCTTCAGTGACTGCTGAGGATGTAATATCTGGTGCTGTGGCAGCCACATTGTAATTAAGAGGTGATAAGCTTGGAAGCAAAAGTCAACATGCCTATGGGGGCAGAAACTAAATGGGGAAAAGAGATTAGGTCCTTGATAACATGATCCTACTACTGAATTAGCCCTGAAAGTACCCACACTAGAACTTTACGTTAATGATAAAATAAATGACCTCCTACTTTACACTACTGTTTATCAGTTGTTCCTTGAAGCCAAAGTCATTCTAACAGATGCAGTGTAGGCAGGGAAAGAATTACAGCAAAAAACAGATACTGTGAAGATTTTCATAGCTGAGTCCGGGAATCCATTAGTACACATACCTGTTCAGGGCAAACAAAGCACATCTGGGCAGTACATAGCCTATCTGTGGTTGGTATTTCCTCTGTTACCTTTCAGATACACTGTTCCTCTCTTCCATGAGCCTATCAGAGACTGCGTCAAAAGCCTCTCTTGCTCTGTCTTTTAGGCAGATCAGGCTATGGGAATGCCTCTGCAGGATGGAGGAGGGTTGTGAGATATAAATCTCCCAGCCTTTTTTTCTGGGTGATTAGTTAAGCTTTGACTGAAGGTCACAGACATCTGTCAGGGCAGCCTTCTCTGTTGGAGTCTGGCTTCAACAGATGCAGGAGCTCTAGCCCTAGGGTTCCATACTTCCCTTGTGGTTTCCCACACCCTGCTCACATCTTTGTAAAGTGCCATTTGTTTCTTTCCAGGACTCTGACTGATATAGTGGTACGAACAAAAATCAGGGCAGCTTTGGAAGCTGGGTCTTGTCTAAGATGTGGTGAGATTGTGTGGAGTTACTCACAATTAAATAAGGGCTTTCTGCTGCCATCAAAGGGAGACAACATAAATGTCACGTCACAAAGTGAAACAAAGTATCATAGCTCAGACACACTTTCCATTTGAGACTAAGAAATCAGAAAGGCTACCTGGAAGGGAGGGCATCTAGGGTGAGAATGGGTAGGATTTTTAAAAGAGATGAGAGGAAGGGCATTCCAAAAACAGGGAATACGTGTCAAGTCATGGAGGAAAGAAAGCACTAAAGAATTAGTGCTGGAAGAGATCTAAGGTCTCTTTTATTTGATGTTACTTCTTCTTCCACTTCCTTCACACATGAATAAACTTGAAGCAGAGATTTGGCCAAGGTCAAACAGCAGTTATAAGTAGCATGCCAACACTCCAACTCAGGTCTACTAACTACTAACCCACCTTCTACCCCCACCCCCAGTAATCTGCTTGCTTGACAGTCTCTCCCACTAGACTAACTTCCTTCAGAGCTGGGCTTCTGTTTTCTTTCGTCTTTGAACCCCAGTTGCTAGCAAAATTTCTGACATAAAATCGTCATTCGTCATCACCATCAGCTATTAAATATTAAGAAGCACGCAGATCTTTTACATATTCATGTACTTTTCAAAACAGCTTCGACGGACAGATACAATCATCTTCACATTTCAACACAAGACTTTTAGTTCAGAAAGGCTCTCTAGTTTGCCCAAGGTCACACAGCAGTTAAGTGCAGGACTCTAATTTGACCATCCATCAAACGCGACTCCGAAGCCCTGCCTAAACTGGCGTTCAAAAACACGTTGAGAGCATGGACGAACAATATAAGCGATCGGCAGTCGCGGGCCACTCTAGAGCCCCGGCCACGGCGGGCCGCTCGGGACTCTGCACGTAGTCTTTCAATCAAAGCTAGCTAGTTTCTCTGGGCGCCCCAACTAAGGCTCCGCTCGGTCTCCGCCTGGCTTGCCAGCCACGCCCCCACCTCGAAGAGTTTGGTCCCTTGGTATCCGAGTTTCCTGGGCTCCGGCCGCGGGACAGAGGACCTCTCGCCGATTGCGACCTGCAGTCCGTTCCACTCGGCGGTCAGCCCCCTTTCTTCCCCTCTTCTCCGTCCTCCCTCACTCTCCAAACTTTTTTTCACCCTCTCTAAACTTCAGTCATTCTATTGCCCACCTCCTCCATTCCTACCAACCAATGATTGGTCCTAGTTCTCGCCGACGGCCCGCCCCCTGTCCGCCGGGGGCCAATCCCGAGCGAGAGGGTTGAGAGCTGTGCTTGTTCCCAAGCGCCTGGTCGGTGACGGCAGCGCGCCGGGCGCCGCGAGGGGGCGGGGCCCTGGATGAGGGATGGGCGAGGGCGGGGGGCAGGGAAGAGGGAGGAGGAGGAGGTTGCGGCGGGTTTGAAAGCGGCAGTTTCCTGGCAGCTGGGGCAGGCGTTGGTCTTCGGTCCAGCTCTGCAGCGGCCGCGGTCGATCCGGCGACAGTCCTGGGCGGCCCCGAGGGGTTTTTCGCGTTCCGGCTCTTCCCGCGTCACCTCCCGCCCCCTGCCTCAGCCTTTCCCGCCGCTCGGGCGCGAAGCCCGGGGCCAGCCGTCGGCGCCGACCCCGCCCGCGAGCCCCGTTGGAGCCGCCCGGGGCCGTTCCCGCTCCGTTTCTTCAGCCCGGCCTGCCGCGGCCCTCGCGGAGCCCCGTCAGCCCGGGGGCGCGGTGTCCGAGGGGCGGCCCGGATACCGGGCGCCCGGCCCCCGGCGGGTCGGGGTCGGGGTCGGGGTCGGCCTGAGCCGCCCGGGGCTCCAGGCTGAGAGGGGGCCGGCGCGGCGCCCGCGCGGGGGCTCCCCCATGGTGCAGCGGGGTTCGGGATGTCGAAGACGCTGAAGAAGAAGAAGCACTGGCTCAGCAAGGTGCAGGAGTGCGTGGTGTCTTGGTCCGGGCCCCCCGGCGACTTGGGCGCCGAGATCCGCGGCGGCGCGGAGCGCGGCGAGTTCCCTTACCTGGGGCGGCTCCGCGAGGAGCCTGGCGCGGGCACCTGCTGCGTCGTCTCAGGGAAGGCGCCCAGCCCCGGGGATGTGCTGCTGGAGGTGAACGGGACGCCTGTCAGCGGCCTCACCAACCGGGACACCTTGGCTGTCATCCGCCACTTCCGAGAGCCCATCCGCCTCAAGACCGTGAAGCCAGGTACCGGCCCTGCCTTTCTGTCACGAGGTTGGGAGGTTGGGGAGGGACGGGGTGGGCGTCCTGCAGCGGCTGCACCTCGGCACGCTTGACTTTCTGGGCAATCTTAGACCCCTGGAGTGTGCTTGACTCCCTGGCGGCGGGGGGCGGGGTGACGCTGGTGATTCCCATTTTGCCGGTGGGAAAACTGAGCCCTGCCTTGTAAGGCTGCGCCGCGAGTCTTGGGATTGCAACCAGAAGTAGCTCGGGCTCCCACCGCAGACGAGAGTTTCACTAGAGGGGGCCAGTCCTTTCCTGTCTTTTGGGGAAAAGATTCTTAGAATCATTGCGTTTGTTCTCTTTGGGCTGGTCTAATGCATCTTAGGCACTGGAAAGGAGGTCTTTACTATCAATGTATTCGATACCAAATTTGCTCCTAGTGTACCTGGAGGCTTAGCTGCTTCAGGGTTTCTTGCACAGCAGCACATGTCTCAGAGCTGACAGCCTAAATCGGTCCAGGTGGTTCAGGTGTTGGGGGTACTGGAGAGGGCACTGTATATATTCTGTGTGCTCTTGCAAAGAGCCTTTGAAGAGACTCTGGGTTTTGGAGGAAGACCTAGGTGCCTAGCTGAGTAAATACGTTTTGTAAAGCTTCTGATTTTACAGAATTTTGTTTAAGTAGTAGGTAAAAAACCTCGCTTGCTGCCCTGGAGTCTTTTATGCTAGTAAAATGTGCTGCAAAGCACCTTATGTTTCTGGCATACTTGCTAGTTTCAAAGCACTGATCAGACTGCACACAGAGATTAGATAGTATGCAGTAAGTAGTCTTATGCTGAGAACATTCTTTGTCATTTCAGCATTGATAAAATGTGGTTCAGTATATTTGTGCTGAGTTGTTTGTAGATAAGTGAATTATGTTCACATTATTACAAATCAAACTCTTTTTTTGCTAAATGTGCTCCACTAAATATACAGTGCAGCAAGATATAATGGGTTGCCTAATTGTGACCTGATCCATCCCTTTTCTGCAAAATACTAGAAAATTCTAGAGAAAAATTACTCTGTTCTTTTTTTTTTTCCCCTCAGCAGCTCACTTTGGAAATGTCTAATAGTCCTTGAGCTTAATTGGAACTGATAATTTATGATGCAGTTATACAAATGTGTTTGTGTTGTGATTATACACAACACAGTTCTATAACCTTATGATTTTCTTCATATAGGCTATTCTATTGTATATTCAACATTTATGTGTGTATGTGAGGATAGGAAGTTTTATTTCTGTTGTTAATTTGTAGAACTCTAGCTGACTTTAAACAGTTTTTTCTGTATAGTTTTGACAATCGTAAAATTCTTTCTTAGCTCTAACTTTTAAAGCCATATGTGGAGTGATGAGGAGAGACTTTGGGGTCTGTAATTCAGCCTAGTGGCCTAACACTATGTAGACAGCATTTATTAGTCTAGGTGCCATTTAGTTTAGATTCCCTTGAGTCAGTGAATAATGAGAACATCTGCATCACTGCTTTGTGTTTTGTTTTGATTAGCTGGAGCATGGATGAGAGTATAGTTGTTATTTTAAAAAATATTCTTAAAGCTGATAGAGAAGCTGGTATATTCCAAATTATGATTCTGTTGGAAGACTAGAGAAGTAACTCTTTAATATTAGTCTGGTTTACACCTTATACGTTTTTTCACTTGTACATCAAGTTTAATAAAATATTTTGATGTTTACAGTATATGCAATAGCATTAACTGTGTTGAATAACTCCTACACTATGGCTGACGTTTTTATAATAACAAAATTCTGCCCTCTTGCCAACCAATGACAATATCATAGTTAACCAAATAATGGAAATAACAGATTAATCAATGCAGCACATTTTGTAATTATTAATAGCAGTGAGAATGCAATGATTTATTTTTTAAATATATACTCGGTATCACTGATTTCTGATGGATACTGTAATGTCGTGCCATCTGAGATTAATACTCTTATTTCTAAGCAACTTGTAATTTAAAAGTGTTAATTTCTCCCATTAAGTATAATATTAAATGTTGCTTAAGAGCAACATTTGTTATAAAATAGCAAGATTTTTGCAGGTTAGGCGAAAATATTAGGTAAGAAATTAAGAACTTACTGAACTTCGATTATAAACAGTATAAATATCTACAGAGGAACTAGAGAATCTGTACAGTTGTGATTCATTTAAAAAGTATGAAAATACAGAGTAAAGAGATTTAAAAAGAAACTTGCCCTGCCCTTTGTTTTCTTTTTATCTGAACTTTGTGAGAGAAATGGATTTTTCAATTTAATGAGATATTATAAAATGTCTTTAGCATTCTGCCTTTTGTCTTGACTAGTAGCTCTTGTTAAACTGTAACATAACATGTCATTTAGAAACTGTCACAGTGTAAGAATGAAATGTAACCATTTCCGTAAGATGTAGTATTAATGGGGAATGATTTCACTTTGTCTTTCTGATGAAGTCCACGACAGAAGGGTGAGCTGGAGTGTACCATAGGCCATAACAGCACTTAATTCCTCTGAGCTCTCTCTATTTGATGTAGTTGATGCTAAGGGAAGTCCAGCCAACACCAATATCATCAACCAGATGACTTAATGAATTTTTTCTGGCAGTGACTGTCTTTACCTTTGATTCAGACTTTTTTCCCTCTCTCTTGTTACCATTTTTGATGGGTAATGGAAAAAAAAAGCTCTTTGAAATTTAGTTCCTAATCTGAAACTTTTCCTGACAGAATTACTCAATTTCTTGTCCTATTAATATAGAACTTAGCAGTTAGTACTTTCCTGCTTCTAGAGTTAAGTTTAGTTCCACCCATTGCTTTTACCCAACTAATCACTTGTTTCATAATTATGTCCCTGTACATTTATATTTCCACAGAGAAAAAGGTTGTCTCTGGAATTTGAACTTAGTATTTTCCCAGTTGTAAAGGAAGTTGAACTTTGGACCCTGGTGAAATTGTTTCATGATACAGCTCTGTGACCAGCATTAGTTTCTTTGATTTTTACTTCAGAGCATATTCAGTTTCTATTTTGATTGAGAGAAGTAGTTGCTTTTGTTCTGAAATTCCTTAAATGACAAATGTGCAATTTATTTATACAGTATATAAATATTTGCTTCTCAGTATATCATTAAACATATATTTAAGCAGTTGTAAATTATGTGGATTGTATTCCAAAAATTAAGTATAGATACACTAATTAGTCAATATATGATGTTATCGTCTGTTGCCTTACTTACCTCACATTATAGTCAACTACTTTTAAATCTATTACTGTGGCTAGAGATCAAAATCAAAGGGGACAACACAGTTTGCTTAAATAAAAACTAACTCAAAACAGAGCTTTGTATAGTGTTCATTAAGTATCTGTAAAGTATTCATCACTGATTCTGAGGCATTCTTTTTGTAAGGGATTTTTGTTACAAAGATCTTATTCCTAGAAATACACTCCCTTCTGGTGAAGAAATATTACTGGATACTTTTAAATAAGAAGTTTTTATGGTATGTGAATAATAAAAAACTTCCTTTCTTCTCTTAATTACTGGATTTTTTTGTTAGCTTTGTTTAATGGGTAATTTATGATTTCAGTGAGTTTTGTTTTGGTGTTTGTAATAGCTGAAGAAAAGTTAGGAGAAATGAGAGTTAATACGATTACAGTATAATGCATTACTTCATACTTTTTGTTAAACAACGGAAACCAGAGATTGGATTCAGGAAAGTAGTGTTGAATTTTGATAAACTTTAAATTTGAAACTTTCCTGGTTTTTCAAATTTTAGTGGCAATTTTTATTTGTTCTAAAGATCGTAATAATTCATGGGTTTTGGGTTCAGGATAATATTCACTGGCACCTTAAATTCATATAAGTAATGAACTTCACAAAATTTGCTTAGATTTGATGACTTACGTCTTTGACATTTCTGTATTTAAAATTTTTTCTATGCATCATTTTGTAGAAGTATTATATCTAAAGTCTCAGATGTTTAATTTTGTTCAATTTTCTAATATATTATCCCGATTGTTTTATTGATCCTCTACTTACTCCCAGACTTCTTATAATTTAGTTAGTAAATTCTATGTTTTTCAGTTGAGGTAGAGTTCAGTGGTTCTTAAAAATCTGGTCTTTATGTAAACTGACAGTAAAATTTTCTAAATTTATGAAGTCAGTGTCTAGTCTTTTTAGGTGAATAGTATTATAGTTTGTAACTGTCAGTACTTTGTAAATTTTGTGGGTGCTTAGTGTTTTAGGACTGTGTTATAGGAGAATTTCATTGTTGAACCACTTTAATATTGCCTGTTAATTTCACATGTATCAATTTCAGGGTCAGTTTTAAATTGTTTGTGATTTTAAAAAAGAATAAATGTTTTGGTGTGGAAGACTAGAACTGTGCTGCCTTTTAAAAAAAACCCTCTTGTACTAATTTGAGAAATAAGTTTCTTGAAATACTACATTTTGAAAGAATGAATGTCCAGAATTTCAAACTATTGCCAAAAGTGTTAAGATTGTCAGTAGCTTGGAAGTTGGGATTGTAGAGAGATTTGCTTATGAGGGAAGAGAGGCAGATCCACTCATTGCTCATCTCCTTGAAGACTGAATATTGTTCAGAATGTTTTCCAAGAAAAGGTGCTTATTTTGTTTTTTAAAGAAAAAATGAAAATTCTATTGGCATACATTCATTCCCTCAACCAACATATAGCAGTGTACCCACAGTGTGCCCGCACATAGTTTGGGGGATATAAGAATGAGTCTGAAGAAGTCTGTCTTCAAGGAACCCGCAACTTAGTGGAAGCTGAATGACTCATTCATTGCTCAAGAATACCTATAGGTAGAGTTTTACTTTTCTGTCAGTATTCAGAAGTCTTTAAGTTTAGTATGTATTTCGATGATTAATCCTGTAGGCTAGTTGACTGCATAGTATGTGATTTTTAATTGGTTGGGTTGTTGCAGTTTAGCAAAGATTTGTGTTCTTATGCTGTTACAAAAAGAGAAATCAGATATAAATAA